AGTGGCTAGCTATGAAATAAAATTAAGTTGATCAAGAAAATTTTTTATACTTATTTGTTTGAAATACTTTCTATAATTCATTATATGAATAAATAGGATCATCTTTTTTTACATGCTCTCTTTTGTAAAAAAATTCTTGTTATAGCTTTAATAGTCTTGACTAGATCAATCATATTTATCTCCTCATCTATGATCTCCATATCTCCCATCATAGTTTCTATATTCTTACTTGTAACTTCTATTTTTCTAGTTGTAACTTCAATTTCTTAAACTGAAGCTTTTACTCATTTGGCTCCTCTACATAGTAGATTTGCTGCAAAATTCATATAACAATTATGGCATAATTTACCACCTTTTGTTCACATTACCACTTTTTATCCACATTACCTTAGTTAACCTATTATTTCTGCTTCCTCTCACTTTTCGTCTTTCAAAAGCAGAATACAGTTGGCCAGTAGTTCCGCAATTCATACAACACTTAGAGTTGGTCTTTTTTTTACTAAGCAGGTCTAATACAAAGGTCGAATGATTCAAAGTGATTCAACTGATATTATTATAATACGGCTATGAAGACTTTAATGGACTTTAATGGGTTCACAAAAGAGATAATCTACGAATCAAATTGAAACGTTTGTGTAACGATCTACAAACTCGGGCATACTCGGGACGTTCCTACATCGTCTCCATTTTTTATCGCCTTTCATTTATAATTGAAAAATGTCGGCCATGTCAAAATTTACATGAATTTAATGGCCCTTTTAGTATGAAACACCCCATATTATTGGCTTAAATTCTATTTATTGCGGTTTGCAAAATTATGTGAAATTTAAAGATCAATAAAAAAAAAAAGTAATCACCAATTCCCGATTACTGATTTCCGATTTCAACATTTTTTTTTGACTTTTAGACTAGACAAAATTTGCGCATTTATCATTTGAAAAAATTCGATTAGATATTTTAATGCGCAACTCCTATTTTTGCAAATATATTACAAAATGTCAGAAATCAGGAAATTAGTGATTACTTTTTTTTTGTTGATCTTCAAATTTCACATAATTTTGCAAACCGCAATAATCTCATCATTCAACTTATCTAATCAAACTAATCACAAAATTGAAGATTTCCGCAATAAATTTGATAATTCCAAATGAACCTTTCTTTTGTCCAGATGTCAATTGTAAAACAACTAGACAAAATCGACGATTCATTAGAAGCTACTCAAATATACCACAAAGCTAGCCAATTGTATTTAAATGATAATAAGTCACAAAACGTTGTCTTGATGAAATTACTAAAGAAATGTGTAATCTATATAACGAAAAAAGATCGAAAGGTAAAGATTCTAGCTCAATTTCTTACCAAAACAATTTCTAATAAAAAAAAATAAGCAAAATCAAAATAATATTATCATCAAATATTGTTAAATAATCCTATGATTCAAGTAATTATTGCAAGTTAGGCCAGACCAATTTAATTCGGTAGTTTGCGTTACTCCCTTCTGACTTCCCCCCCTCACTATATGTGCAGAAAATTTCGGAAAACTTTTATTATATAGCGGATCATTTCGGAAAAAAAAAATATAATAAATTCCCTCCTCCCCTCTTTTGTGAGAAGGACGTAATGTAAACCACCGAATTAAATTGGTCTGGCCTTACCATGTGAGAGTACATATCATCAATATAACAATATAAAGATTTTCTAATAAAAAGTTAACATTTATTTTTTAACTTTTTACTGTATTGATATTAAAGGTTGAAATATAGAATGTTATTATCAAGTAAACACGTACTATAGAATGTTATTATCAAGTAAACACGTACTATAGAATTTAAAAATAAAAATTAAAGACAAAATTTTTATATAATAGCTAACTAGCTACTTTTTAGAACAAACATTTAGACTTGCTCTATTTTTAATTTTTTGACAACATTCACAATTTCTTTTAATAAACTCCATGCTCTTTGATCACTAACTACGCCATAACTAGGAAGCCACAAGGCGTTCATAGCGTAACCAAATGAGATTCCTAATTCCTGGTTCCATAAAAATAAACTTCCACCGAATCCTCCCCATCCCAGGAATTCTGTATCTTCAATACCAGGCATTCTAAAATAAGCAAATCCACCAAATGAGGGTGTAATATTTGTATAAATAACATGGTCATAAGTTACTGGCAATTTTGTAGAAATGAGGTCAACTGTAGACTTTGAAAGAAAAGGCTTAGAACTAACACTAGACGATGATGAACTACTATCATCACTAAGGGGTTGGCCATTATTTACAATTATGGCACCTAGTTTAGCAATTGACTTGGCGTTTGTAATTCCATTAACACCTGGAAATTCTATAGTAACAAACTCTAACTTTGAAAAATCAGTGAATTTCTGGGTAGTAGGACTTGGATAATAAAAAGTTTTATATAAAACACTTTCTTTATCATTAAATCTTGAGAAATAAGATCCTGGCACCTTCCCAGCCCACCAACTCTTAAAGATAAGTGTACTAAGCGAATCAATAGTTGCTCTGACGGTAGGTGTCTCATACAATTCTGCAATCCTTGATATAAGATTTGGTGGCAATGATAAATAAAATTCTAAATCGTATTGCGTCAAAATTTCTTCAGAAACGATTTTTCCAATAGTGCGATGTTTCGGATCGACTCTACGAACAATCTCATTTAAATACCATCCATAAGTTGATGCATGATATGCACGATTAGGAACTCCTCCGAACGAGTGTGGTTGAGCAGCAAGAACCTTTGCTAATTTATCAAGATCTTCTAAATCAGATTTTACCAGCGTGTCAAGATAGCTTACTCCTGCCCGGTGATTTACTAGATCCAGAAGTGTAACATTTTCTTTATTACCTTGAGCAAATTCTGGCCAATATGTGGATATTTTTTCATTGTAATCAAGAATTCCTCGATCTACTAAATATGCTATTACGATCGAACACTATGAAAATAAATTTGAAAATAAATTTATAAATGATCAAAGTAGGATGAATTTTAATTACTATATATTTAAAAAAAAATTTTTTTTTACCAAAGTTTTGCTGGTCGAAAAAACAGGTTGTAATGTATTATTATCGTATTCACGCATTGTCTCAAGATCAGCGTATCCACCTTGTAAATCAACCACTAGTTTACCATTATAATAAACTGCAACACTTGATCCAACTTCATCACCATTTTCAAAATTGGTTATGAATGCTTTTTTCACATTAATAAATTCCGGTGCTACATAACCTTGTACCTTCGTACTAAGACATCCAATTCCTACTAATTGACATTGTAATGGTGCAAAAGGACCGAAAGTTGAATATCTATAAATTAGAATAGATATGAAGAGAATTAAAGCACTGATTGGAAAAAGCTTGGAAGTTGCAGGCGGATTAGTATGGGATTCTCCGTCATGAGATGTGGATTTTTTGTTTTCCATTACTATATTATTTATCGTGAAGAGAGCAGCTACCACTTAAGTATTCAGACTTAATAATTTTAAGGGTAGGGTAACACAATTTCCGATTTCATATAAAATTGATGGTAGATCATTTTTATGTAACGCATATGGAAATCCCATTATACAGTCAGACCTCTCTAAGTGCACACCCTTGGGACCACACTTTAACGACGTGCATTTAGAGAATAATAAGAAAAAATGCATTTATAGATGTGCACTTATAGAGGGTGCATTTGGAGGCGGTCCCGACGACGTGCATTTAGGGGGGTCTGACTGTATATAAATAGCCTCATTTATCGCTCTTGTAAGAAAACAGTTCTATACTCAACAATAAAATAAAGAGTAATCGTGTCTTTATACACGAACAATTCGAGTACTTTATTGAATAAATCATCAACTTGTTATACGACTACTTGTATCTTCATATACATTTAGCATAAAACGGTATTTGTTATCAATTGTCTAACATATCTGTAGCTAAGTAAAACCGTTATACCGAACTCATAAGTGGTACGTACGTACTTTTTTATCTATCATATCAGATATAATAGATAATCAACGAGAGGTTATTATTAATCGATTTAAACTTGGGAATTGTAATCAGATTGCCAAAATTCTAATATAAAAAATGCTAGTACATTTTAACTTTATGGATTTTATTTCTCTTGATAATGGTTTGTTTATACAATATAATTCTCATCTTTTTACATATTTAAACTAGCCTTTTTTCTATACATATTTTGTTTAAAAAAAGATATAGTACATAATATATGAAATTACAGTTCAATAACTCTATTAAAGTAACGATAGTCCCATTTACAGAGTCACAGAAGTAATTTGAATTTTCTATTATCTAAAGTAACGATTCAAGTTCTTTAAAATTGTAATATCTACTATTGTACATAGCCTCCGGGTGAACTTCAAACTTATTATTAAAAAGTGGTGGACCTTCTTCTGTTCCTTGAAACTGTTCAGCAATATAAGAGTTAGGAGCACTTAATAGCATACACAACCATTTACCAAATGTTTTGTAAAGTTGTTCAGCAGTAGGTCTCATGAAAGGATCAAGGCTTAAACATTGATTCATGATATCAAAGTAACATTCTGGAATTCTATATCTGGATGCCGGATGAAAACCTTCACAAATATCAATGGCAAGATCCAAATTATGTGCACGGTCTGAAAAAGGTTTTTTGCAATACGCCAATTCCCACATTATCATCCCAAAACTATAAATGTTGGATTCCTTGGTAAATACCTTATTTCGTAAGGTTTCAGGAGCAGTGAAAGGTAAAACACAGTATAATCCTTCTTCAACATCATTTTGTAGTTTATAAAAACCTAGATCACTTAGAAGTACCGTGGATGAATGTATGAGTACATTACCACTATGTAAATTTTGGTGAACAAGATTGTTTATGTGAATGCGTGTGAGACCCGCCGTGATGCTATGTAGAATGTCTAAACGCTTTTGCCATGTTAAGGATTTAGAGTTTTGTTCATAATATTTTCTTAAGTCACCGTACGCATATTGCATAACCATCATATAATTTTTTGTGGCGGGATCTCGGGTTATTCCGTAATACCGAGAGATATATAAACCATTATTAATTGCGGAATTTAGATATTTTCTCAACTAGAATATAAAAATAATATATAATCAGTTCATATAATGTATAATGTACAATCAAATCAAAGGAAAATGAGGTATCAAGTTTATTATTTATTGTCTGCCTGTCGATCACATATATATTTAAAATTTTGAACAATAAATAATAAACTTGCCTTGGTAACAAAAAATGAAACACTTGTACTTACTTCGTAAAAGAGATCTTTATTCGCCGAAATATCAAATGACTTCAAAGCAACCCGCCATTTACCACACCTTGCGTACTGAGCTGTATTTATGTCCCATTTTTCATGTGGACCGTCAAGCCATATCGCTTTGTAAACACAACCATATCCACCAGAACCAATTTGTTTGATATTTTTGAAGTTACTATAAGGTATCCATTCTAAGAAGTCAACCCAGCTTTTGGAATTAAGTTGAGTTTTTTGAATAAAGGTATCAATTTCATTATTACCGCTTGACCATGAGTTAAAATTATCTTTGAAACGTTTTGATTGACATAGCAAACACCATCTAGCATAATATCCAAACTCATCGATAGGACCATTACAATTTGGACAAATTCCTGGAGGAACTTGCATGGGCGTTACTTCTTGTTTAACGATAGATTTTTTGATTTCCATCAACTTTTCGATTTCAATGTTATCACGATTAAATAATGAATAATTGTTATCATAGTTATTATTTTTGTTAGAAACATAATGATTTATTCTGTTATAATCGCTAATAATGGCAAGTTTTGTTGGATCAGTTATAATTTTTGGTAATTGACGGTGGTTACGTTTCTCTGAAGGAATCGGATGGGTTTGAAATTTTTGTTTATCTAAAGATTCAAGATTATTATAGGCTTCAAAACGCTGTTCTATGTTATTAACCCATGTTTCTCTTTCATCTACTTCATGTTGCTTTGCTGATTCTACTTTATTAAAATATTGACGCTTGTCTTTCTTTTTCTAAACGATGACACAAGAAATTTACACATTGGCAAAGAAAATAAAGAATTCACCGAGAGAATACTTTTATTTACCTTTCTGAAAATCCGGAGAATTTTATTCATTACGTATTTTGTTTATACTTTATTTATTAAACAATTAAATGAGTACACGAATTGAATAGGAACAAAATTTGTAAATTTATTCACGATGATTTTTTTTACCTTTATTTATTTTTTAAATTTTTTTTTTTTTTTTTTTGCTTTTTTTTTTGTTTTGTTTCGATAGAAATTTCTTGATAAACTTTGTTACGTGAAGCATTTTATTTCATCCAAAGGAGTACGACCATTCCGAAATTTTATCATCTATTACCGTATTATAGTATTACAATATTAGAAGTAAATGGTTGACCAACCTAGACATAATGAATTGTTTTGCAATTTTGTGTCATCTGTATATACCGATACATAATTTTATGTAATGACATTTTGAATACTATGCATAATGAGGCGTTAAGCGAAGTGACCGGTTGCACTAGTATATAAATATATATTAAAAATAAGTATATATTTTTAAACTTTCGCTTTTAAATATTAAATATTACGCAATTACTATTCATAAGAATACCTTAAGTAGTATATTAATATGCAGGAGCTTTTATTGCCAATAAAATACTATCTATATATGCGTACGTTATGATGAAACAATACATACCAAATTTGGCATCTGGTTTTTTTAAAGTGATACTCCGTGTTTTATTAGATACTCTACGCGTTAACTCTTAAAATGATGTGTTAATGGTGTATCAAACGTGAAATGTATCATTAACAAAAAAAATCGCATCACAAGCGTTTTAGAAGCACGTCAAAAATTGTCATCAGAAATACTATAATCCAAAGTTATCGCATTTATCAAGTTTTTATCCTGGAAACAAGTTCAAGTGTAACATGAAAATTAAAAAAGGCAATTAAAATCAACTGCTACACGTATATTATTCCAGCCAATAGAAACTTATAGGAAATTTGTAAATTCGTCTTTTTATCTTGCTTGTACGACAATTCATATCATAATGATTTCTCAATAAATTATTTCTCATAAAAAAAAATTTTAATAACCAATTAACGAATGTGTTCTTCTCGCATGTCCAAAAAGATATAATTTATTCATGATTAACAAAAGTTATCAGATAAACAAAATGCCATGCATGGCGAACAGGTTTTGTATCATTATTGAAGATTTGTAAACATAATAAACTACAGACTATTATATTTATGTAACAGAAACAGGCACGGTAGATTAATTTTTTATCAGTTTTGACAGGTTATCATGTTTGACAGGATTGGGGGTTTTTTTTAAGGGTTACTTATTTGCTAATCCACTCATCATGTCATCTATCTATACTTTGATCTTTTTCTCTGAATTTTGGTCACTAGAAAATTCGTTGCCTGTGTTGCATTTAGCAGCAACGTTTATGTGAACAAGCGTAAAACATATGGTGTATTTTATACCATTTTGCACAAAATCAATGATGATTGAACACATGAAAAATAAAACTGATTCTAATCTCACTTTACTGTATAACTCTTTCTCTTTGAAGAATGATTTAAAAGATGGGTGATCTAAGTCCTCGAAAAAATCCGATAAAGAGCATGTAGAAAAATGGCAGACTCAGATACAGGCAGGATATTTCATCTAAACTATAGATGGCAAGGTGGTAATAATTATGTTTTTACCTCAATACTTACTAATTATTCCCTATGATTTTACAATGTAATCTGGAAAACAAATTTTTACTTATTATTAATTAGTACACAAAAAATGATAAGAAATAATTGGAAATAATAAATAATAATAGTTAACTGACTTGTCTATCTCTAATATAAACGAAGAAAAGTGTTATGTTATCAAGTTAGATATAGATAATTCTTAAAATCAGTTTTTTTCATATTATTTTTAAAATCAGTTTTTTTATTCAATTGTTGATAGGACAGCTTAGGCAATAACAAGCATTATTCTAGAAGAGCTTTAACTTGCAGTAGTAAGAAGAAAATGAAAAAATGATGTTATTCGATATATTTACTCAACACTTTCTTGTTTTTTTTTTTTTATTTCGGTTAGTTCTATTAGGTATTAATCATGTTGATAGTTGACATCAAATTCGATATTACGATATTACCGCATTTATCATTGACAATTCTGCAATTAATGCAGAAACACGGAGCTGCGGAATTTTGTAAATTAACTTTAATTATAGTTATGTCTACCATCTGTAACATATTTGCTGTAGTAAATTACAAAGTACCATGCAGGTGGTGGTGTAATTGTCGTGCCTCAAGTTAGTACCTGCCTAAAGGTGCAACTTCTGACATCTGAAGTTAACTAGAGAATGTGTGAAATAATCAATTTCAAGGGTTAATTTCGGTTAAGTACAACATCAGAAACCTATACTTTCCGGCAAAACTTGGACAAATCCAAACTCAAAAAATACTTGCCCATTAAAAAAAAAAAAAAAAAGTCTTAGTAATTTGCAAATATATCTCATAATTATGAGAACATTGTTTAAATGAAGATTATCAATAAAATTTTTGAGATATTATTGTAGTTTGGCCAAAGTTTGAGATTTGAGCATGGACAAACCCAACTATGATAGTTTAGGATAAGTATGCAGGCACCTGATGTTACAACTTCAGGCAGGTGCCAACTTCAGGCACGAAATAATCCTAACAACTTTAAATAGTTGGGCAAGGTTTTTCTATATGAGTGTTGTCAAAAGAAAACCTACAACTCTAAAAATAGATTATTATGAAAATCATAGTAATCTATTTTTAGAGTCATATAGTAAATTGGTATTTCACCAAGTTTTACTACGCAGGAACATAGCATTATATGCAATGTTGTGCGCGGCAAATTCGGAACAAAATTTTAGTTAAGAAAATATTAATCATCCAAATCTTTATTAAATCGGTCTTCTTTTAGGCCGTTCGAAGTTGATTCTTCGGTTAACATCACTTTCTAGGACTCTCGGGGGGGGGGAACATATAAAAATGAACAAATATGGGCCAATTTCATTGGTCGATGTAAATCAAGTGATCGGCGAGAGTTTTCCAGCGTTTTGATTGGTTGTTCATTTTTCGGGGGAGACTTCAACCGGGGGGTGATGTTAACCGAAGAATTAACTTCGAACGGCCTTATCTCTTAAACAAAGTGTTCAAAATTTAATTTTATAAAATATTTTATTATGAATATTTTTATTTTTTTATCAAAAAGTTTGGGACTGTCAAATGTACAACACCGGCGGTACATATCAAAGGTGATATCTATGTTGCACTGACTGTAAATATCCCTTGAATATTGAGCAATTTGCTAGGGAGGATTACAGTTGGCGTTAAATTAATTTATATGATTAATATATTTACAATTACGGAATTGACATATTTTTTTGCCGTAAAGCTACAATCTGCATTCCCAAATAATACGTTCTTTCTATAATATTTTTTATGATGTATAATTACATAGTTTTACTACATCTTAAAAAATTATGCAAATATAGATTAAGACATCTTAAGCATTTAATAGTAATTTAACGGAAATAATTAATCGTTTTTATTACATTTTATTTTAATAGTAAGATGAGATGTAAGCTACTATCCAATATAGCCTGATCAATTATGACAATTTGCAGGTAAAATAAAAAAAAAATTTAAGATTTGTATAACTATAATAAACTACCAAATTTTCGAAAGTTCTTTGAGTTAACCTGAAAATGAAGATTTAATAAGATTTAATAAGATTTAATAAGATTTAATACGTAATATCTTTTCACAAAATTATCTATTATATTTATAGGCACTATTTTAAATATGGGTAAAATTATTATTTATTCTTAAATATACTTGGGAATATTAAGATTTATTACCCATTCTTAATATCCTTAAGAATTTAAAGATGTTTGGAACGAGTACCGTAAATCACCATATACAAGACCCGGGTCTCTTACATTCCACTTATACACATTTTGCATATTTGAAAAAACCCAGGGTTGATTAATATAGATAACGTGATTCGCACCGGGGAGTAATTCTTATAATAATTCTATTTTTAGTAACAAAGTACAAGTCACTCTCGTTATAGTGAACCATTTGCTATAGTGAAGAACAGTTTATATAAAAACCCTCTCGATATAGTGAATTTACTTATAGACTCGATATAATCTCAGTTTTAACTTCTGCTACCATGTAATTAAATGCATAAGTAATAATAAGCAAAGGTTTGCTCTTCTTTACACGGTTCTTTATTGTTATCTGTTATATATTTCTTGGCTTTAATTATAACGTAAGATACATTTTTATACTACATCATTTGATCATGTAATAAATTTAGCATCAATGTTATTTTTATAATAAAAAAACATGAAATTAATTTATCATATGGTAGTTCAAAGTTAAATATAGGGTGTGCAATGGGCCGGGCCAAACCCGGCAATTTGCGGGTTGGGTTGGGTTTGGGCCGGGTCTGGGCTCAAATTTTTAGGCCCAATAATTAATTGGGCTGGGTACGGGCTGGGTTTATAAA